GCACATGTATTGTTTGTACCATTTGAATTAATATGTGAAAAGATGCCAACAGGTTCCCAAGTGGTCACCCCTCTCAAGTACCTCAACCACGTCTGATGCTGCTTAATAGTAAGATACAAAGAGAACGTGACACTCTCGAGCCCCTATTACACCACACAATGCTGGGACAGAACGCTTACCCTTACGCTCTTGTTCCACTAACCATTCTGCTGTACCATTTGAATTAATATGTGGAAAAAAGATGCCAACAGGTTCCCAAGTGGTCACCCTCTCAAGTACCAACCACGTCTGATGCTGCTTAATAGTAAGATAAAGAGAACGACACTCGAGCCCTCTATTACACCACACAATGCTGGGACAGAATGCCACCCCATGCTCTTGTTCTTCTAACTATTACAGTTGCTATACTATTTGGATTGATATGGGGAAAAAAGATGCTAGCAGGTTCCCAAGTGGTCACCCTCTCAAGTACCAACCACGTCTGATGCTGCTTAATAGTAAGATAAAGAGAACGACACTCGAGCCCTCTATTACACCACACAATGCTGGGACAGAATGCCACCCCATGCCTTGTTCTTCTAATCATTACAATTGCTGTAACATATTTGACTGATATGGGGCAAAAAAGATAGCAGGTTCCCAAGTGGTCCTCTCAACTATCGATCGCGCCTGATGCTGCTTAACTGCGGAAATCAGAGAGCCGGTGCTTTCAGCATGGAACGGTTGTTGGCACAATGGGAGGACATTTGATCCTCCACGGATTTAACGTGCACAGGGCCCCTATACTCGGCGGATCTTCTCTGAATAGGGTCTCGAAGCCCTACTTTTACGAGGCTATAGGGGTCCTAGTAAAAAAGAGAGAATAAAGACATATTCAGCACATAAAATTTTGTTATAGCTTTTTTATCATAAAGCACATAAAAACTAGTTTTATATTGAAAGTTTTTTGACAGCAAGAATTACTTAGAAGTTATGTGCTCCCCATCAGCCGCATTCACTTTTACTTTTTTTGGTACGGTAAACAAGCTGATATACTTAGCTTTGATCCAGATTAAATGCTTTCATGTCTAATATTTTAATGTAAAAACTACTATTGTATAAAAAATTATAATACACAAATTTCTTTCCGGTCTGATCTGAAACGTTTTAATTAAAATGAGAATATTAATTGAAACAAACGATTTCTTTTAAAACAGTTGTTTTCTCCATATAAATTATTAATATTTGTTATGTAGGTACTTCAAATTTCGTTAACAATTACTAAAGTAAAAAAAGAAAGGTTTCAATGAATATCTTATTATATTATTCATTAATTTAAAAGAATGAAAATAAATAAATAATTATTAGGTCAAGATATAAATGGCTAATAGTCTACTTATAAAATTTTCTTTTTTTACATTAGTCCAGAATTCTGTGAATGTATTCTCATAACTATATATATTCGTATTATTCTTGTTCTTCAACAATAAAGAATATTGTTACGAATTCAATATAAAATTAATTTTGAAAAATATAAAAATGAGAGAAACAAATTGTGTGGAGAAATGAAATTTTGTCACTGAAATGCAAATTTTATTTAAAAAATAAAATAAGGTGTAAATATAGTTTCTTGGGTGAGATAATGATTTCCAAAGATATAGTGGAAAAAAGCCTTGTTTCTAATTCTTAATTAACAGAAATTGTAAGGAACTTTTGGGCTTTGAAAAAGTTAAGGTGAACTTTCTGTCTTAAATAAAAAAGTGCAAAGTTTGGCTGGAAACTGTCCAAGGGTTTAGGAGATGAGAATACATACAAACACAATAACTTTATTTAAATTAAGATAATTAAGGATCATTACAAGATTAAGAGTACCGGGTACATACCAGAGCCATAAAAAAAGGTTTTAGTGAAGATGTCGTCACAATTAACCAAATATTTAATTTTATTCAAGCGAATATCAATTTTAATTAATCAAACAAGTTAATTTTAATAGCTAATTTGACAGATTAATTTAATTTCATATTAACTAAACTTGGCTGCACCCAAGATTTGTTTAATGAATTTAATATATAATAACCAAAGATGATAGATATATAAGAGTTCCCTTTATCCTTTTTCATATTGAAAAATATCTCATTAACTTAAAATTGTTTTGGTGTTTTTTGTCTGAGTATTTGCTTTATGGAGATCGCTGGAGATTTAAATTTCCTGTTCAAAATAATGCATTGATATCCTATGCTTTAAACAATAATGTGTTGGGGAAATTTGGAACTCACAATGTTTAATAATTTTTATTATCTTATGTGTTAAGAATTTAATGACTTATTATCTCTTGTAACCAGGGGGGGCTCTCTAAATGAGCCCATTCTCTAGTAATGTTTAAATGCTTCATGTCATGTGATTTTACCATATGACAAAGGAATGTTCGCACAATTATATGGTAAATTCCTGACAAATAAACTGATCTAGAGTCGTTCTTTCATTCGGGTCAAGTGTCAGTTTCTGCTACTGTTTCAGATAGGCTGGCTTAATGTTATCTAGAGATATTTGCACTGCTGAGTTGTTTATTTTATGACTCCTACCTGTTGAATGATTATGTGTTGCAATATAAAAAATTGACCAATGTATCGACCAATAACCCATCATAACTTTTTGAATGAAAATGGAATGATAAAACCTGATATAAGCAAAAAATTAAATGACATGAAAACAGAATCACAGTGTAAACATTGCAATGTGTAGAAAGAATAAATTAATATTAAGTGTCTGTATTGATCAATATGTAATATTTCATTACTTCTAAAAATATTAGCGCAAAGGAGTCTACCTTTGCCTTCAAGCTTGCTGAAAAGGGATTTTTTTTCTTTTTATAACATGATTGGAAATTTATCAATAAACCTACGAGTACTGAATTACTAAATGACGACAAACTCGGTATATTTGCATATATCAGAATTTGTACAAAAACGGAAGCTTTCAGCGTTAAAAAAAAGAACTTAATATTAAAAAACAAATTAAAAAAACCGCACTTTTTGGTATACCTAAAAGTACAACATAATCCTATCGCAAAACAAAGATTAATCAAAAAGGCAGGAACTGAAAGAATGTTGCAAGTAAACCTGGAAGTTTAATTTTATTTGTCTATATATTTTTATTCTTTAGCCGATTGTAATGAAATTTTCATTCATTGATTTAATTCCGTATAACCGGGCAGTTTTTATGATTTATTTTGACTCCAGATTTGATGTAAAATGATTTTATAATCTTTTAGGTCAAATAAACGTATTTGAGAATCTTTCTATTTGTCTCCTGTACTCCGTTTTATATATTTCACTTAATATATTTCATTATTATTTCATATAACTATTATGGAATCTTGTAATAAAGCCAATAATTTAGTACCAGATGATTCCCTTAATATGAAGTGAAATTGTAAAACAAAATTAATCGATTAACCGACTATTGAGTTCTGAAGATATTAAAAATATCGCAATAGCATCGGGAACATAAAACTGCATAAAAATTTCATAACCTCTATAATACCAGGAAGTGAGCGAAAACTGTAT